GTGGGAGATCGGCCTATCTCGGCAGCCGGTTTGAAAACGCCCTATTTCATGAAATGGCTCAAGAACGCCCTATTTCAGAATTTAATTGAAAAGCGCTCTATCTCAGAATTTGGCTCAATCTCAGCAAATGATTCAATGATGCTGAGATGGAGCGATCTTAAACCAAATTCTTGAGAAATTTTCGGAGATAGTTTTCTAAGTGGGCAAAAATCGAAAAAAAAAAAATTTTTAATCAAACCAAAATTTCAAAAAATGGCAAATTTTAATGGAATGAATAAAAAATATATGTAAAAATATGTTACTCTTTATAATTTTATAAAATAGTACGAGTTTTTAGCTTTCGAAAGAAGAAATAAAAACCTGCTAATTTTTTGCACTTTTGAACTGAACCTGTAGATAATAGAGTTTTTTTTTAAGTTAAACTAAAATAAACAAAGGTTTAAGACATCGTATTTTTTATTTTATTATAAATACATACCTTGTCAATCAGTGATTTGTTCTGATTAAATTCATTTTACATTACTGGAATCTTAAATCAACTCAGGAATGTTTTTACGCTTCACTTATTTCTTGCTAAATATGTCCAATTTTTTCGTTTGTCTGATATCCATATTGACATACATATTTCAGTTACCTTATTCCCTTAATTAAAGTGAATTTGATTTTGTAAACATGTCAATTGATACCCATATTGTTATATCTGATTCATTTAACTTATGTAATAAATTTAATAAAATTTGTACCAGGTGGCAACCCGTTTCAAAAAAATAAAACTTTATTGCATATCTACAGGCCAAGCAGTGTCATTTGACAACTCACTTTTGAAAATAGAACGAACTAGATGTACATTAAGTTTTGCGCCTCTACGCACTGATTTTTTTCGTTTTCCTTCCGCGTGAACAGTACCAAACCTGTATTGGTTGGAATGCCGGCAAGTAACTCCCACCAGACAATTTTTAGCAAACAATGGGCTGTAAAAATAAATACCAGTACTTCCCACCTAAAAACATTTGCCGTCGGAATGTGGCCTATAATTATACGTTCTTATATGTATTTCTTATTTTTTCGAATTAATTTTAGTAGGTGTCAACGTGTTAGTTGTTGGTTTTAGAGTAAAAATTGTATATACCATTTCAGGCCACTTTCTGCTTTTGCGTTTTCCTTGATGCAACATCCGCTGAATGCAATGTCTGCCAGACAAATCAAGTTGCCTGCATCAATTC